TTCAAATTAATTACAAACAGAAAATAATTGGATTCATAGAATTGATTAGAAATGCAATCCTTGATTTGTCAGGGTAATATGAAGTGATTTTTTAAACGGGAAACTGTAAATAAAAAAAAATATATATTTTTTGTTCAATAACAGATATTATTTACTTTAATAGAAGAGCCATATCAAAATACATAAAAAGGATGAAAATTTGGTTTCAATCCTTTTTATATGCCGTGTCGTTAAATTCAAATAAAAGGTAATGAAATAAATTTTCTTATTTATGTCTATCTGTTTGGATGCAAACAATATATTATAGGTTATTATATTATAGGTTTGTTCAGTATAAGGTTTGTTCAGTGTTGAGTGAAATAACTCTTCGCTAAGAACGCATACGTGGAATGCGTGATATGTATATGTTGCTTCTGAAATTATACGATATACAGATACTTACGCGTTTTCAATTCGTTTTGGTGTAAACTCGGCACAAATGAAATGCTTGTGCGTTCTAGACAGGAAGATCCTATAGACGCAAACGTAATGGTCATCATCACCACTGTCGAGTTCTTTACTCCAACGTTAAAGTGGAAAGAAAATGTCAACATGTCCTCCCCTCCGATATAGTGCAGACCGAAGAACTTCCCATTGATCTTCTCCAAACACAGGCCACCCTTTCCAGGCTTCCTTTTCCTTGCTTTAGACTTCAATGAATTTGATTGCTTCCCCACACAATTTTGTTGTACTATCGTGGATACCATAACTCGCTTCACAGAGCAAGGAAGTCCCAGCCCGTTGTAAATACCCATCATCATCGAGCTTAGATAAATTTGAAAACTTATATACTAAGCTTCTAACATCTTTACACCTTGATTACTGGAATGTGACCTCAGCCAGCTGTCTTTCAGAGTCTAATGGCTAAAGTCTTCTTAACTTGTTCCAAAGAGGTTGCTTTAGTGGGTTCAAGTGTTATACTGTGGCTTTAGATGGTTTTCATCTACTGCAAAAAAAAAAACAAAAAAAAACTATACCCAAAGCAAAATTTTAAATGCCGTAGAATAGAATTGGTCTAGAGTATTGTTTTCCAGTAAATAAATACTACTATTTTTGATCTTTTGTGCTATTAACTGAGCCAACCTGAAGAGAGTATACTTTGCTGTTTCAATAAAGACCAAAATCTAAATTGTTTGGGAAATTCCACCATCAGACAGAAATACAAATTCCCGTTCCAACATTTTCTATTGCTCCAAATTCCATAAAGACAATCATCAACTGGAGGTCTTTTGTATTTTTAAGCAAAGCCGACTTCTTGTCTCCTTAGAGCGATTCATTTCGTTAAGATGATAACGTAGGGCATATTGACCCATTAAATAACCTACCAAAATATAAAACTCTGTTCTACCGTAATAGTAGACACAATCCAACTTGTGGTCTGGCGGTTACCTGGAGTATCGTCCCAGTAGCAAGAAATCATTTTTCTTTTAGAGACCTCTGGCCTATAAAATATAATACCTGATTCGCTGTTTGTGAAATTGTCTTCTGACTAATTGTCATTAATTTGTGTATGACAAGACAATCAACAAAATATTAACTGGTCTTTGATTGACTGTTTCTGCAGCATATCATAGCACTCTTCCAAAATTCTTGAACATAATTTGCAAGACAACAACATTTTGATTGCTGCTTAATTAAAAGTGCAGCTATAGATCTGAGCATTTTTAAATCCTTTAGTAAGGTTGAACCTTCCTTTGAAAGACATCTAGTGCGAGCGATATTCTGGTGTTAGAGTTGAAAATCTCTGAATCTATTATATCTCTAGTTTTGGAACTGTCAATATATTATGAGATCAACTTTGGTTCTAAACCAATCCCTTTTTGGTTCTTTCGAAGTCCTTCTGATAAGAACTTTAAATTTTCGTCTGAGGAGCAATTTTATATTTATGTAATCTGTTCTATTGCAGATATCTATGTCAGAAAGTAGTTAACAGAGCATGTTTCGATTATTAACTTCTATGCATATTGATAAAAAATTTGTTGTCTTTTAATAGAGATTTAAGTTTTTAATTGAACATTTGTTTGAAAGACTTTGGACAACTCACCTAGCGCGAGCGAGATTCTTATGTTAAGGTCAAAGGCATATACATCAACTAGTTTTATAGTTTAAGAACTGTCAATGTATTACGAGATTAATTTTGGTTTCAAACCAACCCTTCTTTGGTTCTTTCAATTATACGATCGAGACTTCGAGAATTCTATCGTAGCGAAATTTTATGTTCGTTCTATTTGTCACTCTTCTCTATGCCAGGAACCAGTCAGCACAGCATGTTTCGACTGGTAACACTTTTGCGCATGTTGATAAAAAACTGCTGTATTTTCAATAAAGAAAATTAGAATGTTTAGACTTATAGACTATAGACTTTAGTATTTTTTTGAATTATATAATGCTTTTAAAATGTTATACATAGGATTTTTTATTACAAATTGTACAATCAAGAATACCATTATTTATACAATACTTTGATGGAGATATATATTTGTTTATTGTACTTTCAAATTGTTATTTGACATTAGCCACATTTGTTAGGGTTAGAGTGTAGTATATAAGATATTTTTAAAAACAGATGAAATAGGTATCCTAGTTATAAAAATAGTACGAATAGTGTTATCTACTAAAGTTCTAAATTGTGTCTGAGGTATAATTATTAATATTCATCATTAAACATTGAGGAAAGCTTGGCGTTTGATTAGTGATCCTTAATATTAAAGCATGAAGAAAAAGCACTCAAAAATCTTAGCGTTTATCATTTCTGAGAACACTAAATGAACAGTTCTGCGTACTAATACTTGAGTGTCGTGCTTTATAAAAGGATCAAATTTCTATATAAAAGGATAGAATTTCAAGGATAGAATTTATACCAATTTTGTGCGATGCAATGTAGAGTAACGGCGATATGATTTTCATTGCATTCAAGTCATGTTTAATAAAATAAAAATAATAATAAATTAAAAATAATTTTAACTTCCAAAGATTGTTTTGTAGTAATTTCGATTTTGCGTATTTTAAAGCAATTTGTCCGCTTTTAAATCTTATCTGAATATAGTTTCGTCTTATATGTCCAAATATTGAAACACTGCTCTTACCTGGCTATTTCGTAGTTTCAAAATAAATCTTCTGTTTGTGATGCTGTGATATGTTAAACCCTTTTACATCGAACCTAATGTATACATATGTGCAATCGTTGGTGGTACTTTCATTGATAAAGCCCGATTTGCGTCAGCATCCAGCTTAAGAGTACTTTTCCAAAAAGTACTTTTGAGGGTAGAAGGTGAATATTGAAATGTTGAATGTTTTTAGTCAAGTTTGAGAAGAATTTTCATACCTACGTTTTCTTAATGAAGATGAACAATTGTTGCTAACAGCTCTTAATTATTTAATAAACTTTTCAAAGTGCTTTCCTTTCTTGTTACCCTTTTAATAATTTTGTCAGAAATTCCATTATATTCCTCTCGCATTCTTCACTTTTGACCAATGCTTGAGAATTTTTCTATGCATAATTAAAATCCATTACGTAGCATTAAAAGCGAATTATTTTAAATTTCCTTTCTTATTGTGAGGCATTTTTTCATTAAAATTTTATCATTTTTGTTTAGTACACTCGTCAGTGCTTTTCACTATATTTTTAAATTAAAACTTAAAGCATAACACAATTGAGATTCAGAATTTAAATCAAGATTCATATAAATAATGAAACTATAAATTTTAATAATTAATTTATACATTGATAATGATTTGTAATAAAAATAAATAAAACCTATTAGAGGTATTCACTTTATCTTGCGAAGTCATTGTCTTTCTCCTCGTGGAATAATATTTTTTCCTCTTATCAGTTTGGTTTTAGGAGTCAAACTCTCACCGTCCATGCTCTACAACATCTCCAAAATGAGATATGCGTAGGCTTATTCAATAAGCAGCCCACTGTGGCATTGAGCCTTGACATTGAAAAAGCTTACGATACCGACTGGTTTGAGGGCTTAATTCTAAAGTTCCACCAGTTCGGCTTTCCCTAACGCTCTGCAGTGTGGTTCACAAATTTCTGCCCAACAAAACCTTTTAGGTTCCAGTCGATTCCTCTCTGTCCCATGATTTTCTCATCGACGCCGGCGTCCCCCAGGGCTTGGTTCTTAGCGCACTCCTTTTTAACCTGTTTATAGTAGACTAGAAGAAAGTAGAAAGATTTTGATGTGAAGGATATGTGAGTTTAGCATAACAGTATTATACATCACAAGTCATACATCACACATCTGGCTTCGTTGTGTGAGATAATTCCCGGACATATTGTTTCACGACCCACTAGTAGCAGTTTTCGTAGCATAGTAGCATCCAAATGAACCACGAGCTATATGAGCTTTATCACGATATTGATATAATTTATCGAATTAATATCCAGCGGTTTCGCTGGCTTGAATATGTCGTGAGAGAGGATGAAGAAGGTTCAGCGAAAAAGTTGTTTGAAGCAGTAGTTGGGAAAAGAAGGCGTAGAGGTATACCGTGTCTCCGGTGCTCAAGTTAAGGGAGCACTAACTGGATTTGATATTCGAAACTGAAGGGGGCACGCGCGGAGCAAAGGTGGCTTGAGAAACATGCTGTGACAGGCCGAAATACGGTAATAGGTTACTATGGCCAAATAAGTGAGGAAGTAAGTTATTCCACATTCTGATGATGGCGATTGGTCTGAAAGATCATGCAAAGGATCTTGTTTATGTGGATAATTTTCAAATTTTCACTGTTAAATATGGTTTCGCTCAGTTTTACGTGCATTATTAGATTACATATATGGAAGTATTACTATTGCGTTACTCCAGTAGACTATAAGTACACAAATAAATATATAGAGTTCATTAATACTTTATTAATGCTAATATATGAATAAACTTTATTCAAATAGAAACTTTAACTAATCTGAAAATGATAAAACAAACAAAAATAAATACATAAAAACATTAAATTTTTGAGTTTTATATAAAAAAAAATATTGTTAAGTGCTTAAACTCAAAAGGAGCGCTGTTGCGCGTTTAGTCCAAAACTCCCCTTTTTCAACCCCCGATTTGAGGTCCACAGCTATCACATATGAGCCAGAACGAATTGGATAATAATATGTTGGGCATTGATACACTCCTCTTGTTTTCTTCTTTAAGCTTTCAACTGGTTTAAAATGTACAACAGGCATTGGACAGACCAGTTCCATAGGTAGTGGATCTTGCAAACATTGCATTTTACGTTGCCAGCCAGCCGCTTCAAGGAATAAACTACGCACGTACACACCACCACCTTCACGAACAATACGTGCTGCTGCTGCATCCTCTTCAATAAACACATGAAAATCCCAAGATAACTCATCAATAGGTGTACGAGTTGCTCGCGCAGATGTTTGTAAAACTGCTGTCAGAAAACCAGTTGGAAATGTGTATGCTGATAACCAAAATAGGTTTGGTGGTCGCAATGTTTTTGACCAAAAAAAGAAATGCTCTATGCGAAGGGATAGATCGCGAGACCACGCGGCCAATGGTTTTAGAGATGGATAAGCTGAAATCAATTAATTTTGTTAAATTATCATTTGTTTTATATCGCATTATTCGTGTACCTTTAAGCCACACAAGAGGAACTCGTCCTTCGTAAACAGCATGAAATATTTCCTCCAAATCAGTGCTCATTACGACTAAGCCTTTTATTCCTTTCTGAAGATCTCTTAAATGTACCTTAATGTTTCCTAAAAGCACGTTGTATCGTTCAATTTCTTGCAAAAGCACAACTTCCAAAGGAGTTCGATTGAGTCCAATAATTTTAGAAGTTTGCTCGTAGTTTAATTCTTCTGGAGTATTTATTAAGATATCAAAAGCTAAGTGCAATACTCTCGTTTCCTTGTTTTCTCCGACTGCTGTAGCTGCTTGTCCCTGCATGGATAAGAGTGTTTCAAATAACATTCGAGCTTCACCAATTAGTGAGGCAATATCAGCATTCGGATGCTGACCAAATGCTTCGGGCTTATCGAAATTAGGTAACTGTGAAATTTGATCTAGATAAAATTGATGATCACCATCCCCTGGTATATAATAATTCTGAAGTGTTGAAAGTCTGAAAGAGATAAGTTATAACTTAATTTGCATGCTAACTATAATTAGTTTACCTATATCTCAATTGTGTTAATGCTTCTTCATTGAAAAATTGATTAATATAAGTTAATAACAAACGACGATCCCAATCATCGGTTATATGTCCTCCATAATTAATACCGGCAATTAAAAACCGTAATGCTCCAAATGGGGTTTCTTCATATTCATTTAAGTACAAGGCCAGTAATATTTCAGACACTTCAAAATCAGAATCATTGAAACTGTAAACTACATTCCAGCCTAGTTGAAGGAACTTTTTTCTTTCGAGCAAAATGGAATGGAAGAAGCATAACGAAAATATCAGTTTTTTGTATTTCGATGGGTCATTGCATTGTTCTAAATTAACATCAGATAGTGTATTATATAAGCGTTTCATATTTGCTTTGATTCCTCTCGGTGGCTCTGTAGTCATTTTAATGCTGGTTTGCAAAATTGAGATTGGAAATTCTGGATTTGGACTCGAACTCAGCCATAAACGAAACCTTTTGTGAATTTTCATTGACTGCATAGTAGCAATTATTTTATCTAGCGTGGGCATCCAACTAAGTGATAAATGACAGTTTGCTAAAAATACCCAATTCCCATCGCGGACGCCATCCATTATAAGTTTCGTGGCTACAGGTGCTTGACCTTGCCCTAAACTAAGTGAGAACATTCGCGAAGTCATTTTTAATTGTTCAGCTAAAGTCATAAGTGATTGCGTTGGATCCACACCAGGTGAAAGTACAAATATTAGTGGAGTTTGTGCCATAGATTCTTCGAAAACTGCTTTCAAATCTAATACAGGTGGTTCAACAAACCGCGTTCCCAAAACACTTACAACAAAATGGGTAAAACAAAATGATATACGATCCGGTCGCAAGCACCTGACAACACAAATTTTTTGAAAATCGGTTAATTTTTCGTTCCACTCCCCAATGAGATCTTCACTCTCTGGACTTGTAGTTGCGTACCAAACTAAGAAAAAATATGCTAGAAATGTTTCATTTATTTTGTACAGTTTTTATACCTGACCAATTATAGTTGTTTTGTTCAAAGGAATCGACAATTCCATGAAAGCCAGCAATTTTATCGAGTTCACTTACATTATCCCAAGATTGCTCACTAATCCATTCTAAAATTTTTAGTAAGTAAGATTTTAAAAAATATATATAAACTGGAAATGAATTAAATTTACTTTGGTTTGGATTAGGTGCTTGGCCTTGTCTATCTAGCACAATTCCACCTTTCAGAATAAACTCGTACTCTGCTTCTACTAGTCTTCCTGCACAATCTAAGATTTTGGCAGCCATATGCACCGACAGCAACAATTTATGTACCTCGAACAATCCTCGACATGTGTTTTTATATACTGAGTAGGTGTGGTAATCATTTATATGTAAAATTCGCTCGTAAACGATGTTATGACGTGGACTACGATCTATGGATTGAGTAAACAGGAGTATATAAGCAGCCAGGGAAAATTCGTACATAGGGTCAATCTTCGACATATCCATGAGTACAAAAAATAATACTGCTGCACGTTCAGCGGCAGGCTGATATTCTTGTCGAGCACCATCAATTTCAATCTCAGTAAATTCTGCGGTAGTTAGAGATTCTTTTACTAAAACTGAAGTTTGTCTAGATTTTTGGAGTGTTGAGAATAGCTCATCGTCTTCAAGTATTGACCCACGGCTCTCGTTTAATAAACGCAAAATTTCGTTGTCTAAATCAATTAGAGTGCGTTTGTGTTTCGCAATTGTTAGTACAAGATCATCTTTTTGTTCCTCAAGAATTGGTTTTTCTTTTCTCACTATTATTCCAAGCAGTTGCGCTTGCAATCCACTCTGTTTAACAGCGAAGTTGACAATTGTAGTTTTTGAAGCAATTTCCGGTGGATAGTGAGGATTTGCTATTTTGGTTGTTAAATATAGCCTGAAATTATTATTATATGAAATGTATTTATCATTAAATTTGATTAGCTTTTGTCCAGCTTGAATTGTGAAGCTCTTTCGAAGAATTGGATTAATGGCCTGATCTATTTGCTCTCCAACATTTTGTAGTAGAACGGGAGCACCGACTTGTAAAGCTGTTTCTAATGTCTTTAAATAATCAAATTGTCCGAAGTCGGATACCAATAACTCCGGTTCAAGGTTTTTAATCCAAGTGTTTGCTTGCATTTGGGGATCTATAATTAATGGCCATCGTTGACCTCTATTTACAATGACACCGTTTTCTGTACTAAAATCGTCTGCTGGTAAACCTTGGATATTCCACTCTCGAATTGTAACTGCATCACTTAGAAAAAGAGTTATGTTTAATTCATCTGTTGCTGGAATACCATTATCAAGTATTAATTTATTCCATTGCTCTAGAAGTATTGTTCTGTATTTTGTGTCAAATGGGCCTAAATATGATAAAAACGCTGTTGCAATGAGGCAGTCTCCTGGTAATCTTTCAAATGCCAAATCCAGTTGGGCAACAGTATCGATCCAACGTTGTTGTTCTCCAGATAATGATTCGACTAAAATAATGGCGCGTTCTAGTTGTTTTCTGATAAAAAAAATATACGTTATATACAATGTAATAAGTAAATGTACGAAGCTTAAACATGAGTAAATTATGAACATAATACTGATTTTGCATTCTGTATTTCTAATACATAGAAGAATCAGAGAAAATTAGAAATTTAATATTTTACCGTAGCTTTTCTTCTCTTATCCGTAATTCGTTCAGCATTTCAATCTTTTCATTCAATAGGCGATATAACTCCGCAATTTGATCCATCAGTTCTTGTAACCTCTTTTTAGCTGCAGCTAGCATAGCTTGTTTTTCAGCCAAAGACCGCATTGCATTATCTAGTTTTTCTTGTTTTGGAGCAACTATTCGATAAACCTTACCATAGTTTTCAATTGCTATAATCCAAAGCATAAGCGACTTACAGGCTAGTGACACAATAGCTACCTTATCTGGTTCTAGTTCGGGGTTCTTTGTGTACAATGCGATTCGTTTAAGAGTTTTGTCGGAAATATTATCACGATCAAAGAACCTCAGATCGTTTAAGAAGTTCTGGTCACTGAGAACTTTCTTAGCATTTTCCCACGTTGGCTCTTTACCAAGTAGTATTAGAACAGCTTCCATTACCTTTTCAATTTTCATAGGAGGTCGACCATATGATTTCACTTCCGCAATATCTTTTTTATTTAATGCGTCAAGCGCCTTAATGGCAGCATCAACCATTGGCATCACTACTTCCAAGTCTGCTTGAGCAGTTGCTGCTAGTTCCATACATATGACCTCTTCTTTTCTAATAATTACTGCTTCTGCATCGACTTCTTCTTTTCTTTCGGTTGCTTGAGCTTTTTGAACCTCAATTTCTGCAATAAATTCTTCGCATTCCTTCGCAAGGACTTTTACTTGTTCAGAACTAATTTTCAGTTCTTCAGACATTGAGGTTACCTTTTCTTGGGTATCTGCAATTTTCCATAAGCCATTTCGTAGCTTGTTTGCACTAGCGCTAATTTCACCTCGCTTGTATTCTAATAACCTCTGAAATCCAGTAACAAGTTCCAAATAAGTAGGTGAAGTAACATAGTTGCGCCGTTTTACTTCAAGCCACATTCGTTCAGAGACATCAGCCACACTTGAATGAATAACTGAAAATACATAAGATACTGATCTTTGAAGAACATCTTCAGTAGTCTCAACTAAACTATCACGATGGACTTCATTTTCTTTTCCTGGAACTGGAACATTAATGCTAAAGTCAGCTAAAAACTTTTGTGCAACTTCAAGCAATGCTTCTTGCGGCCAAAGCCGGAACCAATCAGGAGTTGTTGTGCTAATAAGTGCAGGATACTGTCGTAAATAACTTCTAAATTCTTCTCCTATTGGGCTGATGGCTATAGCAATGTGCATATTTTCTCGCACATTTTGCATAAAGAAGTTATATAAAGATTCAGTGGTAATCATAACACCAGCCTTTTTAGCTGGACGTTCCAATTCAGCTTTGAGTTCATCAAACTCATCTGCTTTAAACAAATTGGCTTCTCCAGTGCTTAACATATTATTGATTATTTCCAAAAAAGTATTTTCAACAACTTGCTCTCCAGAGAAAATGAAAATGGTTGGCCGCTGTTTAACACCTGTAGATTTATACAAATTCTTTAGATCTTCCTTAAATTCATGTGACTTGTATTTCTTGGTAACTTCAATTTGGAATATTCCTATTTCGCAAATAAAAGCAGCCATTTTTGCTAAAACTTGCCTGCCCGATCCACCTATGCCAATATTTAACATGTGACCCCGTGGTTGAGAAATAACTCGTACTATTCGTGTGACGTGTTCAATTGCTTCTTTAAAGAAAACAATGTTCATGCGTGTCATCCCGGGAAAGTTGTTATATTCATCTAATTGATTTAAAATAAATTTACGTAACGTTTCAAAAACAAAATCTTCGTAGTAGCCTAAATTACTAATAAAATCTCCAAATATAGGTATGGTTTTGTTTGGACATAAACTATGGAAAGTTATCTCCATATACTTTCCCAATACGTCGTTCATTTCATTCAAGAACCATCCTTGATCATTGTCGTCGACTAACCGATCACTAAATACACGGAAGCATTCATGCACCCATAATCGCAAGAACATTGATCGCTTCGTATGAGCTTCTGGATGGCTGCGTAGCAAGCCTTGAAACACTCTTGATATATCACGTAAATTGTATAAGTAATGGGATTTTGCAGGCGTTGGCAACATGCGTACAACGACGTCGTTGTATAATGTAATAGTTGCCTGAGTAACTTTGAGTCCTATTTCTCTAATCTCCGTTTCAAAGTCTTCAAGTTTTTGCTTTAGCATTGTGCCAAATATACGAACAATAGTAGCTTCTGTAGGGAATGTCATATTGATTATAGTAAACCGACTAAGTGTCCGAGGAGATATAACTTGACGTCCCCCACCAGGTGGTCCCATAGCGGCCATTAGTATAGTATTTTGAACGTAGATTTTTTGTTGATTCTTTCTATTAAACCAATACTTATAGTCTATCCATTGCCTTATCAATTCTAAAGGAGGTTGAGATCCGTATGTGTCCTTTGCAGGCATGTTAAAATCATCCATAAAGCACACCATTTTTTTGCCACCTATTGGAACGAAATATGTTTTCGTACGTTTTTCAGTGCGGTTTTCGATTGATTCTTGCAAGCCAGCAGCTGTTGTCTAAAAAATTAAATGTGAATAATGATTATTTAAGAATTATTTTACGAATCATTTGTGTACTTGGGCTGATATATTAATGGATAGCACTGTATAGCGTGTTTTGTCACATGAATCCATTACGCTCACTGCTGTGGATGTTTTACCAGTTCCTACATTTCCAACCAACATGACAGGATTTTCTTCTTGTAGTAGTTTTGAAACGACATAGTCATACCGAACAGTGTCTATTGTAGGTACAATTATCTTATAAAATGGTTGACTGAAAACATAGAATCATGAGATTGAAAAAAAAATAAGTTGATGTTTTTTACTTACTTTGCATTATATCTCCAAGTTTCTGACAGTTTGGCGTCCCAGGGCAATAGTGCTTTTTGATGTGGATCTACATAATAATCATACACTGTATCTTTGATTGGAAAACAGCTTTCCAACTCCCTTATATATGCATCCATTCTATTACGCCCTTCTTCATCGACTACAGGGCATATACCCCATACAAGGCAAAACATAAACCAGTACTTTGTCATTTGTTCTAATTGGTCAATATTATGTGCGGATATTCCGTTTTGTTTGGTAGCAAACCCCTCTAACAACTTGCACATTGAAATAACCAGATTAAGCTCATTTGTTTTTACTATTTCTTTACATTTGGTACGTTTCATCTCTAGCACTTTAGTTAAATAATCGTCAAAGTGAGTTTCAACTAATTCCACATACTCAGGCGGTTTTTGGTTTCGAAGCCAGGATTTCACATATGGCCGCCAACCCCAGTCATTGTAGTCATTATAAACCATTCCACACCGGGAGACGGTAGCTGGTGAGGCAACAGCTAAATCAGCTACTTCAAATAGAAGTGATACCTGTGCTGGCATTGTTATTCGTTCACTATTAACCAATGTCAAAATCTTGTTATCATCCATTACTGAGTTCATGTTTTCGATCCAGACAGCGTCAACTGGACCATCAAATAGTAACCATTTTTGTGTGAGTTCCTCATCAGCACAAATAACACGCATTATAGAACTAAGGACACCATCTAACCATTCTCCAGTTGAAAGGTTATACTCACCATACAATTCAGCTAAATTCAAAGCTTTTGGATTAATGGGATGTACAATAACACACTCCCAGCCTGCATGCTTGTCAGCATTCATCCGCCCAAAAGCACCTTGCAAACATTTCCATGTGATTGATTTTGCAGTACCTGTATCACCAATTATCATGGTGGAATGTCGAGAATTTTTTGTTTCGTAAAGTTCCAATATCTTCTTAATGGCAATGGGTATAATTTGAAGATTATGGTCCCGCAGTTCATTTTCAATAGCTGTTTTAAAATAGCTATAGTCTATAACTGGTAAAACAACTCCAGGAAATATGTCTGACATGATACCATTAAAAAGTGGTAAATCGGCCGCAGTTAAACGCGCAACATTCATATCTCTCATAGCTAAATAAACAATTTCTTCCTCGTTTGTTCCGGGCAGTTGTCTTCGTTTACGGCCAGCATATCTCAGTAGTGCTGCCATAGATCGTAGACCAAAATCATAATGGTATTGCTTTGATAACTGTTGTTTAGCCAATTCATACAATGTATACACTTTGCGGGCTAAGCTACGAGTATTCGTAAATCCATCAGAAAACAAAATGTTTTCAGCAATGATCATATTGTCAGGAACCATCATTGAAATAGGTCTAAACATTGATTTTAAATTATCCGGTAATTCTGTTCTTCCAGCATATCCAGGATTCATAGTTATAAAGAGACCAACAGTGTGTATCAATTTTATAAGTGTTCCCTCAAAGACAAATTCTGTCAATTTCGCAGTCAAAGCAGAAATAATTGAAAGTATCTGTTGGGCGACGACGGACAACACTTCAATATTTATACGATTAAATTCATCAAAGCAACCCCAAGCACCAGTTTGCGCCAAACCAGAAAAGTTTTTACCAATGCTTTTGTAGTCAAGGCCTTCTGAGCAATTAGTTACGATAACCCACATACCTAAAGCTTTTCCCAAGTCTTTCACTGTTTCTGTTTTACCTGTACCAGCTGGGCCTTTTGGACTGCCACCTCTATGCAAGTGTAAGGCTGTCGTTAAAGTTATGTAGCATCGATCTGTTAAAGGAGTTATGACCAGTCTGCCAGAATTCCCAGTATACTCGTATGCATATTTGTGCTCCGTATTTGTTTGGCGAATATAACAAATTTCTTTATCGCGAAGCCAATAAAAACGCAGCTGGGAAAACCATTCAAAATGAGTAACATCGATACAATTGTTTTTATACATGCGCTCAATAACATCACGACCGTGAATTTCAACTGTGATAAGTGTGCTCACTTTGAGGCGCATAATTTTCACCAAATCCTTTCGACTCATTTCTGATAATCTATTCAACACTTTGTTCTGTTTGCTTTTCAGTTTACGCAGTGGTTTTTTTTGTTTCACCATTTGACAATGTATTAGACTCCGTGTACATTCTGTGGTCCATGTGAGTTGAGATGTGGTTAATATACATTGTCCTGGCCATAGAGATATCCATTTCTCTCGGTTCGTATTTAATTTCCTAAGCGATACACGCGTTTCTTTAAGTCTCTCCTTCATTACTGCTATCATAGCATCTTCAACACCGGCCAACCACCTTTCCGAAGGTCCATCAAGAAAGACATGACTAAGAAATTCTACATGTTCACCATCGTCTGAGTACATTCCCGTTGCTTGCCACTTGTTAAGTGTTTTACCTGCTTTTCTAAGTTCCAATTTGTATAAATTATCAAATAGTTTTTTCAGATGAATTTGTACTAAATCAGGACGTTTTGCGTTTCCTAAAATTTCTAGTAAATCGTCGTTCGATATAAAATAAAATCTTGGAAATATCTGTCTTTTACTTTCCAAGTATATTTCAAGCGCACGTTGAATAAGTTCAAGACGGTCATTTATACTGAATAAACGTTTTAAAAGAAATGGTGGACCCCCTAAATGAGTTGCTTTCACAGCTGTCTTAACCTCGAACATTCTTGACGTAATAACACGAAACTCTTCGGTTATAAAATTAAATCTCTCAGTTTCCTCTGGCAATTGCTTACGTATATCTTCACCAGAGAATATATTTTCAAGATAAAGCCATTGCCTTTGTACATTTAAAGTGTTTTCAAGTGTCTCTGCTACATATGATAATGTTCTCTCCCAATAATCTACAATTTCAGCAAATGGTTCTACGAAACGCGTCGATTTCATTGCCGAAATTTGTACCATATGCTCCTCTAACAATTGGAAACAATCGTCCACGTTTTTAATACGATATATGCCATCGCGATAAAACATCATTTCAAACGATTGTGTTTTCCATATATGAGCGATATTTTTGATGCCATTCTCAATTTGCAGTTCCATAGTTGCTGCATTTGATATATCCTGTATTTCTTCAGAAAAGGATTGAAAATCCAACTCTATAATTAATTCCAAAGTAAACTTTTTTGATGTCTCGTCAAAATCTCTACAAAAAACACAAATTTCGATTAGTTTTAAATATATTTAATTGAAAAACACGATTAGAAATTCAAGTTCTTGACCTTTATACCCAAACTATACAAGAGTTTAGTCGGGATTAATAAATTTATATTTTTCGTGTATATTGGATTATTTTTAGAAATGCTCTTAGAAAGAAATAAATAACAAAAAATCTATTAAAAATACATAGTAAAATGTACACAAGATCTCAGCATAGGGCCCAACATTTCTAAAATATGTTTTGTGATGTATTTGTATATGTTAATAAAAAGTAATTCGTGGAAAGATTTGTGAGATATAATAGTTTTTTTTTTAATTCCAGTGATTAGAAAATATCAGTTTTGAACTCGTGGATTCCTTTATGCTGAACTTTGTTGAGTCCATATCGATGAACTAGGGATATATATATACATAATCAGTTTAAGCCATATATATATAATAAGTCCATTGCATAACATAAAATATATTAGGGGTGAATATCACTGAATATCACTCCATCTTGCGAAGTCATTGCAAGGTGCACGAAATGCAAAAATGCTATTCTAAAATTGCAAGAGTGCAGAATTGCAACATCAAAATGAAACGACTGTTTGTTTTTCTTGTTTCGTTGCAAGCATATATACATAGGTTTAGGAATAGCAAGATTGTAATCAATAGCAAGAAATTTTGTGTGTGTATTTTGCTGTAGTCCATTGCAAATTCGCGCAATCTGTGCATTTCGTGCATCTTGTAATAAATTTGCACGACAGAGTGAATTTAAAATAAAATCGGTAAAGAGCCATAATTCCTTTTTATATTTTTCCTTAAAGCAAATCTAAACTTTTATCTTATTCATTTAAATGCTTATTTATAAATAGCTTAAATATTATTAACATTTTTAGAAGTTTTTATCCATTTAGTATAACAAGTACTCAATGGATTACAACATTAACAAACATCGATGGATGTTTTTTAGTCTTTTCTTTTTTTGATACACTCGTATAGGACTTTGAAATGGGTGCAGTAAGCAATTTCGAAAATTAAGTGTCTGTTATTCATCTTTGCAGATTATTATTAACTTACTTATATTAAAGTTTAGTGAATCAAAATACTTTAGCAATAATTCAATTTTATCTTGTGTAAGAAAAGAGTTATTATTGCAAAAATCTGTAAATTGGTTGCTACTAACGTTTGCATTAATTCCCGAACTTGATCCCAATGTCTTTTTCGCATGCAAGGATTTTTTAAAGCAGTAATAAGAGGTAGGGTTCTACGAAATGAGTCCAGAGTTTTTGTAGTAACCTCCAACATTTCCCAGTTGCGATCTTTATATTTCTTACATAAAACGTTCAGACTCTTGTATAAAGTAATGGCCGTGTCCTCCATAATATCAATATTTATTTCCCAAAAGTTCCCACTTTTCCACTCATTCCAGTTCTTTTGCCATTCATTGACCAGTTCCCAAATTTCTTTTATTATAGCTAACTCTGCTTGCAGCTTACGGAGATCCAAGTTTTCTGATTGATTTATATTAAATACCGTTAAATCATTTATGAGCGAGTTCTCAAATTCAAAGCATGCGTCGATTTTGTTCCCAATTATATTTAAATACTTCAGAGCTATCTTTGGATGCCTGAAATAAAATCATCATTAAAATAAAGGTTGTGTTGAGAACTCGTTATCGCAAATATCAAATTGCACTTACGTAGCAATAGAGGTTGGGACCTTAAGAAAAAAGTCGGCTAAAAATTCTTTAATGGCTGTCTTAAATCTGTCAGCCTGGGCTAATAAATGTTTTTTAAATTCATCGCGTGTTACTTCAAGCATTTCCTCCGCTTCAGCAATTTTTTTTAAATATGCCAGCCATTCAGCATCTAAGTTTATTAAGAGCACTCTCATCAATTCTGGTATTGCAGTATTGCACCTATCAATGGCATCAAAAAGTGCACGAACATGTGGAAATTCGCTCTCTTTTTGTGGAATTTCTTCTACTAAACGATTGTAGAATAATGTAGCTTCTTTCGCCTCTTTTAAATTACGTGGCTGAAACCTTATTCGCCTGCCATTTCTATGAATGTATCGATATATTCCTGTTACAAGACATAATATGAGTGCAATACATTAATTAAAATATATTCTATGACTTGATACCTTTTAAGCGAGCTGCAGCACGTTTCTGCAGTAATTTGACCATAACTACCTGCCATTTTTCGACCAATGAGAGAAGACTTGATTTAATTGGACCTAGCTCGATTAGCACTACACGAACATTGGTACTTTTTGGTGCTGCAGCTATTTCCTTGGCCATTGCTGTATAAGCAAGTAAAATTTCTTCATAATATTCAGCAGTTTGCTCAGAAGATTCAATTATTTTTGTGAGTTCAGATTCCGATATCTCCCATAGATCGGCATAAGTATCCCAATATACCATATAATTCTCTATAGCCACACTGTTATTGTATAGCTCACTGAGAATGGCAATTTTAACAGTTAGTGCGTCCTGATCTTCATTGTATAAATCCAGAAATAAAATGTTGAGACACTCAGGCGGCGCTCCCATTTTTTCGCCAACTCTAGGGAAACTATTTAAATTGGTGCAAATTTGTTCAAATATGCGTTCAAATAGCTCAAAAATGTCTTCCATGCTTGGGTCCAATATTTTCTACAAAAAAATGTTTCATATTTAACTAAAGAAATCTGTTTCTAAAATTGAATTAATAATACACATATATTCATATTAATTATATAAATATGTATGAAACTGAATTTTAATGTCTGCTTGACGAAAGAAATTAAATTCTTAATATAAACTATTGTTTTCAATAGAGAGGTTTTATCGAACAGTAGTGAAAAAAAAAGAAAATTATACTAACTTCACCAAATCTTATATCAAGGAATGATTGAATAATAGGTGTGGGCTCCAAATTTCCCTCTGGAGTGAGCATTAAATGCATATTCACGAGAGAGTTACGCGCACTTGTTACCAACCCGACCGCTAACATTGCATCTATTATATACACATAATCGAACCACTCTGTAGGCATCTGAAAGAAATTGTTATTATCATAATAACAGAAATTTCTAAGCGTATACTTCGCTGATATAATTTTCGAATTCGGCAAAAACTGCATAAACTAAATCGAGCAAATCTTTGTAATATCCAATGACTATATCCATATTGTCATCGTTGTCATCTTCAACGAGAAATTCAAATTCATCGAGTGAAGAAATTGGGGGATCCTTAATTTGGAAAAACGGGTAATCACATATAAGCCTACAAACCGTTGCGATCTCGCGGTTAGATCTTTTATATGTTATAAGTGATTCCTCAAGTCTTGATGTATGAAGAGCACAATCAGCAACATAAGCATCACTTAGTTCGCCTCCCCATGTAAGTTTTAATACTCCAGGCGATATTTTTCGATCGCAGGCTTGTATAAGTGCCCGAAAAAGTTCTCTTTCTTTATCTGACAAATAACTCACTATGGTGTTGTAATCTATGCAAACCTTAACAACACTATTATATACAAATCGAATAGTACTGTATTTGTCAAGAACAGGCTTAACAGTAAAAGGACTTTGGAATCCCATTTTTTCAAAGTGAACCGCTTGCTCACAACAATATAATATAGCATCATCCATGTTACACTCAATCATTTCGTCTGATAATTCACTTCTCCTAATCAGTGTGTAATTAAGTTTTGCATCTAAATCGTCATTTTCAATTTCATTTGACCAATCCTCAAAGTACTGGATTTTGTTGGAATCAAAAGTCAATTGTATATCTTCGAATTTATCTTGTGCCATGTTTGTTTCAGGAACGATTGGCAGCCAATCTGAATTCCAAATTAGATTTTTCAACCACTCTAAACGTTCAATATTAATTATATTGTACTGAGCACGCAGTGCATAGTATGGTATCCAAGAGAGGTGATGCTTGACACGACCCATTAGTGCGGTAACAGTGTGGTCCATTTCCGCCATCACCATCACCCATAATTCCGTGACTTGACGCAGGTACAATTTTCGTAAGTCTGGACGATAGGAAAAATAAAATAAGGCATGAAGAACTTCAACACCTTCCTCTATGTTACGTATTCGTTGAAAAACAGCAGACATTAGACGTTGAATTGTTTCCTCATAAGTCTGCACTGTTTTACGATATACCAGTACTTCTGCGTACCTGAAAATTAACATCAGAAAGTTATATATGGTTGCATATTTATATCAGTGTCATTACACACAACTTACCATTCGTTTCTGTGCACATTCAGTATCACATCTCTACAATCGTTACGTAGATTGAGCAAGGTTTTTCGGAACTGAACTTCAACACTTTTGACTGTTTTTTCGAACATCATTCCATGGGTTCCTCCAAATTGCACTTTCGGCATTTCTTCTTTCTCTCCATAACGACCAAAAACAATCATTGCTTCACAAATGTCAAGCACATCATTTAAGCGTTCAACAAATGCATCGATGTGATTGAAAATCATTGCCATTTCTAAGCCCCAACCAAATCTTGGCATTCGTCTGGCATGATATTTCGACATAATATCATACATCCACCTGTAACAAAATATTATGTCACAACTAAGATTGGCTAATCTTATACCAGTACGCGAGTATCCTCTCAACACATAATCAATTCTTAAGTGCTTGGTACACATTTTTATAATAAAGTTAGTGAAATATCGAAAAATATTGGTAATTTGATCACGTCGATTGTAATGCTTAGAATTTGTCCAAATAAATCGTACAGTATTTATGAAATCAGGAATGAATTGCGTGATTTCGCTTAACTTTCTTGCTTCTTCCATTCTGTTACAGGGTTTTATCATAAGGCTAAGAAATTTGATATTTAATTTGGCTTCAGCAATTTCTCTCAAACAATGCTGAATTAAATCATCGATTTGCTTCACATACACGGAATGGATTTGTCGCAAGATTCGTATTACACCAGCAACATCAGTGTGAAAAAACTGATTGTATAGACCTTGTAGTATTTCACCTATGGATTTAGTCATTACGAAATTATAGTGAGTAATTATAATATAGAAATAACTCACATCGATATATCCAAAAATTTAATTCGTCTTCTGGTATTAATAGCTCATTATCAGCAATTAGTATCTTATCACTTAAAAGGGCTCGGATTTGAGTAGTCCAGTACAGCACAAGAGTTTCCATACATTTGTTGTCATCCCGTTCATCATCGTCATCATTTTCAGATGCAACCATTGGTACTTTTGATTTGTGTGGAACAAACAGCACTGTAGTTCCTGCGAGTCTATGGTGAAAATTATTGAGAATGGATAAAAACTTATCCAAATCTTTAACCATTATAAATTTCAAATTTTCATTCCAAAGCACTGTATTTCTTACTAATAAGGAATATACATGATTGATAGTATCTAGTAAGCAACCATCTAAGTCCACTTGAAGCGATCCTCTCATAACGTCTGTGTGAAACGTACTACTTCTAAATATTTCTAAAGGTTTTCGTTCAAAATAACAAATATCCCCTACAGGTGCTAATGGAAATCCACAACATGCCTCAATAAATCCACTATCGTAAAATGTAGTTAAGTACAAAAAATTAATATTCATAAACCATCGGCGAATATTGGTAATTGCTCTTTCCGACCAACTGTCTACATCGTAACAACGAAGCATTACCAAAGACTTCACATATTGTACCAAAGTGTCTAATTCCTCATCGGTGTAGTCAGGTATAGGAATTTCAATCTCAGTGTTAACTACAACTGGTTGCGCTTTTGCTACACAAGATAGTATATTCAGTTGATCAGTTTTATAAATCTAATATTTGTTTTATCCTTACCTTGTTCCTCGAGTTCCGAAGTGTCGTAGTCATCTGGGTACACAAAGTTTTCCATTTTCTTGCATAAATTAATAGATATTCAAAAATGTGAAAACAATTTATTCTTTGCAGTAAAAAATTATTTTTCAATTGTCAAATTTATGAAAACAGAATCAAGTTCGTATTTTAAATTAAATTTTTAAATATATTTGTAAACTAAATATATAATAATACATAAAAAATAATAATCGCATTATTATTGAAATCGGTTATCTTCTCCATACATTGAAAAAATTTAAACTCGTCCTAAAGTAAGCACCATTAACGATTACACCATGCCAGTGAATATATTGTGTGAACTCCCAAGTTCTGGGCTTTTAAACTAAATCCATCTAGTAAGCAATCAGTTGATCTTATTAATTTAATTGATTAAATGAATAAAGTAATAAAGATTAATTAATAAAAATAAATTAATAAAAATTAAGTATATTCAAAAATATAACCTCTGCTTGCATTTATTACAGTATTAAAAATGTCTACCATGGCCTGGTATTATTAGGTAATACTTTTTTATATTACCTTCATTCACAACAAAATAAGACTTTAGAAACAATCAAAACAAGTAGTGTTACTTGTATAGTAAATCTCTTAGTTTTGGAGTCTGTCCTTAGAAATTTTATTTTTACGAGATCGTTTTGAGGAACTTCGTCAACTGCAAGACCTCTCCTTAAATAGAATTATAAGTTTTGCCAAAGGTTCAAGGTAGTTGTGAACTTCTTGAGTTTCCTTATAGGTTGACACAATGGGCCTATAGGTCTTTAAGTAGATATTCTGGGTCGCCGGTACAACCTAACCTAACCTAACCTCAACCAAATGTACTTTAGATAGCACCATTGAAAAACATAAAGTTGTAGGAAGCGAACTCTAATAATGATACTCTTTTCTATTTAAAAAATTAATAACATGGATGAATTAGGTAATGTTAGAAGTGATATAGTTTTTCAATGGCCTGGAAACCAATATACTGAGTTTAAAAAAAGTAATAACAAAAGTAATGATAAATCTAATTTACGATAATTATAAGATTTTCTAAAATAATTTAAAAATAATTTATTAAAAATAAGAAGAAATGTAGAGAAGACATTAAGTACGATGAGTCGTATCTATCGTTATATATCATGTGCTCACAACATTGTTTCACAAAACAGACATTAAATAAATAGACATTTCCAGATAAAGGCAGACAGTCTGTTTTGCTATTTATATGAAAGTAGCTAGAAAGTAATAAAATACGATGACAAGTTTTTATTTAAGTAAAACCAAATCATCTGGTAAATATCCGATTTAGTAAATGAAAATGTTTACTAAACATATGTTTTCTTATAAATTAGTTTTCGCAGAAATATGAATAGTTAATTAGCGTGAAATATCGTTAAAAAATTATCGTAAAATATGACGATTTTCAGGCGAGTCAGTTACATGCTTCTAAATTTAAGTAGATAATTAAAATATTTTTTTTTTTTTGCCCTAGTTAAAATACTTTCACTAATTAATATTGCATAATTCTACGAAAATATAAATATTGTTAGCGTTTCGTTGATGATTTAACACCCTGTATTACAGAAGATATACATATTTGGTCTTGCATCTTCCGAGATCCCTTAAGAAAACTTAGGTTTTTTTTTATTTTGAATTTTGGTTAAGATTGAAAGTTATATTATATTGTAAAAAAGTTTTTTTTGTCTAGTCTTAAATATTTTTGTCTGGTCCGTCGTTGAGAATCTGTTCTGCATTAGATCAAATCAACAATTTATCGGAATCTCGGAATTTACATTGGCATTTATGGAGATCACAAGATTATTGGATGAATGGTGTGTTATACAATATCTTGTTGAAATCGTTAATTGTTCAAGTCCAAATAATTTTTCTTTGTCAAAAACTTTTAGTAATAATGTTTTAACAAATTGTCATTAGAAGAGAATCAAGATTATAAACCACATTAACCTGTTAATTTTTTTAGATTTCCATATTGCATGGACTTTCTCGAGAGAAAGTCGTTCAACATTTAGGTATGTTTTTGACAGATTAGGTTCTTAAAAACACAGATACAAATATAAAACTTCTAAATTTAATTATGTTGATCTAAATTTCTCAAAATGTTGAAAACACAGCTTAGATTCATTATTTTTTCTTACAAATTTTAACTGTGATGTTTTCCTCGTAGATTTGTCAAATAATACCTAACTCAGAATTCTGAAGTTAGTCTGTGAAGTCCCTTCAGGTAATAAACAAATCTTGTGAGCATCTTGGGACTCACGTCACTGTTAACAATTATAAGTTTGAAGTTGTGAAAGACTCTGATTATTTGGAAGCCAGTGTAAACATCAAAAATGACGTCACGATAGAGATTTAACGAAGAGAATTACAAGTTGCTTATCACGCCTGTCCTGCTGTATGGTGCAGAAGCGTAGATAATTACCAACAGTGAAGAGCAGGCATATATTTTTGGAAGATCTATGGGTCCTTACGCATTGTTGACAAGTATCAAATTAGAGAACGTTGAGCAGTATGAGCTATATCGCGCCATTGACATAGTTAGGCGTATAAAAACTCAGCGGCTTCGCTGGCTTGGCTCTGGCTAGAAAGGTGTTTAATTGGGTACCTGCGGGTGGAAAACACGGTAAGGGACATCCGAATCTACGGTGGAAGGACAGGAAAAGACACAATTTTTATATATTGACAATTGACAAGCATAAAAAGATTTTCAGATCATGCTGGTATGTAACATAGATAGGTGTATACCTAAATGTTTGAGAACATCAGATGGTCAAAAATTCAGATTAGTTCTTATTTTAAATACTTCTTTAAAATAAGATCATTTCAAATTATTACTCGAATAAGGTGTCATATTTGGATTATATATTATATTATATACTATTATATTATATATTATATACTAAGCACTACGAGTCTCTGATTAGTAAGAAGTCTGAAAGCACATACAAGTAGAGATTCAGTATAATTGGACAAAGCAATCAGTTTGATATTATTTGACTAAATGGATTTTAAGCTGAAACTTTTTCGAAAGTTTCTTCCTTTTTTAAAAACAGAATTAAATATTATACTACACTTTAACTCTTTATTATTAATCAATATTTATACTAGATAAATATAATAGATCGTAGGTATTACTTTAATTATAAATAGTTTGTTTCTAAGACCCTTTAAAGTATAACCAGGCATGCACTGGTCAAATATCGAATAGTTGTGAAAATTGCTAGTATTCCTACATAAAAAATCTATACTTAATATATAATCTATAAACATTTCGACTTCACATATGTTTTTCATTATTAAGTATGGTTTCGTATTGATTGTAATTTAGTTTCCAGAAAATCAAATGAAGTCAACTTAAACAAAATATCTGGAATCAAAAAATATATATATATAAAATTTAATTATAATGAATTTGATTCTTTATGCACTTGACATATACGCTGATTCATACATTGCCTTAAGTGAAATATGTTTCATTATAAATAAGAATTCAAATTAGTCATGTATAACATAAAATGCCACTTTTAAATAAACACAAGTGTATAAATATAACAGATATTTAATTTAATTATTTACAATATATTGTATATTAGACAAAAAACTTAGCAGTAGAATTATGAAATATCTTTGAAATTTTCTCAGGCTCAATATGTAACAGAATTTTGCTAATATCAGAAACCATTATTGAGAGATTAATGCACGGTTAAACTAAAAAATCATATGAAACAATCAATCTCATATATATCTAAAACTAAATTTTTGACTATCTATGAATTACATTAGAAACTTAATAAATTTAAGTAAAGTTGATAACATTATCCCCTTGTAAATAAGAATGTTCTAATAGGTATACGCACAACTAATCAATATGTGATTAATGTTTAAACTTTACAACTTCAAAGTCCGGTATCATAAGCATTAACCTATAACAATATAGCACAAATAATATATATTTGATCTTATGATTATTTTTACAAATACTGATGTTGCTATAAAGAACTGATTGTGTCGGAAAAGTTAATAAACGCTTATTTCTTGCGTGGACACCCATGCTTCTTAAGGATTCAGGTTCGTAAAAACATTTTATAAGAATCACGAAGAAAGAGAGATAATGGTAGGTAATCTGCTGAAACTGTCAAAGAAAATAAATTTGTAAAAGTGCTTCAAAAATCATCAATAGATGTATCAAGCTAACGTTACTATCTTGATCACTAAATCTATAGAAGGGTAAAGTCCTAGGCAATGTCAAAGACCAATAAGCGGAAATTGATTTTTGCTCATGGTGGTCTCTTCGCTGAATATTTGAATATAGAATCTTTATTTTAATTGAATTCTTTATGTGTAAAAAATTATATAAATGTGAATTACGCTTGGAGATGAAAAAAAACCTAGTTTACTTAATCTATTTTTTGTTTCCATAACGAAAATCTTAGCAATTTGAAATGGCTCATTAAAAGCTAAGCTAGCGTTTTCCGATTGCTACTGTTTCCTGAAAAAGGTTCTTAGAATATATTTTTTTTTGTTTTTCATGATATTATTTTTCTCGAAAAATTTAGGAACTGGTTCTTGAATAATATGTTCTGAACTGAACTGGTTCTGAAGTATGTTTTCTGTAAAGAAAGTTTATGATTTCGTTATCAATATCAATAATATCAATACAAGTTAGACAGGCTACGAGCTGATTCTTAGTATATTCTACTTAAAAAGGATATTTTCAAATAATTAAATCCATTCTGTGAACCACACATCTAATGGTCTTACCTCTTATATCATTGTTGAAAGGTATTTGCCAAAACTCAAAGCAGTTCTATCATCGGCGAAAAACTTAAGTAACTTAAGTAAGTAATAATTTTGAAGTACTTTCTATTCTATTCTATTATCTTCTATTCTAAATTCCATACTTTTTTTACAGTCAGTTTTTATGATTTCCATAAGAAAATACGCACAGAATTTTACGATCCTTAAAATGATTATATTGCAAAACTGTTTTGATATATTTATATACAAAATTTGATTGATACATAAAAACCATTTGGTTTCAAGTTCAAGGCGTTTAATAATAAAAAAATTATAGAGTAAATAAATTTGTCGATTTTGGAACCTTCGGTCGAGTTTAAATGAACAGTTATTGATCTACGTCAACACTATTTGGAACGTTACTAACGCTGAATCAACTGATTTATTCAATAAATTTCATCACAGAAGTCGTAAAAAAAATTTTTTTGTTGAAAAATATTTACAAAAAAATAATTAAAATAGAAAATTAAAAAAAAATTCTTTTTCTAAGCACTTTAAACAACAATCATAGTTTTTTAATAATTTATATAAAAAATCTGTAACTTTAAGTTTAAAAGAAAAATTGGTTTAGCTTTAAAACTAAAAATTATTTATTTATAAAAACACACATATAACTATTTTTTTAACATATGACAGTGGTCATTTTGCAAATTGGCATCTCAAATAATACTAAACTATTGTATTAATAATATAATTTTTTATAATCATAAAATCATACCGAAACATTAATTTATTTAATGGCCGAAAAGTTCGATTAATTCGTCCAATGTCTTGGTTCTTAGCACAAGACCAATAATGTTGCCCATATCCTTGATCATATCAAGTATATTTAAGTCACATGCGGCTGCCATTATAGAGGCCAACAAATGAATATCCTTATAGAAGAAGTATTGACTCCATGGTGCCACTATAGCCGGATTATATGGATTAATATAATAATGATTTAACCAGTGTACGACGGCTTCTAATACATAAAAGTCGATATTTATCAATGGTATTTCATCCCCCGGGCGAACATCGCCGACCTCAATTAATCCCAATATGACACCCGAACGTTTAGCAACTTCCATGTTAATGCAAAACAATGAGTTGTCAGCTCCTCGCAAATATATTAAAGACATTATAGTTCGTTATCGATCACTTATTAATCTTTTAGAAACAAATCTGCAAATCACAAGAATAAATTCACTTAATTTAGGTAAAATTGTATAAGTTTATATATCTCACTCTTTCAATAGCTTTTTATATACTTTTGAAAATTTTTAGTTAAATTTAACTGTGAAACAAAAGATACGATTTCGCCGTCAGTAACTACTTCAACTCACTAATCTATTGCTAAAAGCTCAAGTCAAGCGCGGCTGATATTGTTTAAATCGTACAGAAGTCAAGTGTGGTGAAGATGTTCTTACAGTGTTGCAAAGTTGCTAGATATTTTGAAAATGTTTTGAAATGTTATGATTTCGTAAAGATATTTGGAGTAAATAAAATTTTTAATAAATTTGAAGATCATTTAAATAAATACAACGATATAATTTTTGATCTTGCTTTCTTTATATTCCCTTTGATTGATAATAGTAAGTGCAACTGATATATATCTAATTCCCGGTCTTTAAGTACAAGTAAATTAATATATGAAGTGAATTTAGCCTTTAAAATGGTGACCCTTTATAAGTACACACACCCAAAGGGCTTATTGGAAACTGTCACCACCTAAACTAGTACCCAAGTTAATAGCATAGGTAGGGGCATGAGAGTATGTGCTTATCAAACATTCTTGTGCATCAATAACAGTTATGTTTGTATAAGAACTTTCTGATTAGTCAAGTCGAATGAGGTTTTCTTTTTCTTCTGTTTTTAAGAAAGAGAACTGTCTCGGATCTCTCCTTTTAAGTGTTGCGTCATATCTGCTCGAAAAATTTGACATTTTCTAGCACAAATGTTATTATAACGCATTAACCAGAAAAGATTGCATTGATCAAGTTAGTAATGAATTTGGTGATTAAACACCACATACAGCGACTGTAAAACGCCAGTTTAATAAGTTCGAAGTTCGTCCATGAAGGTCGTCCAACAACGAGTGTTGTGCCAGGAAAAATTGATGAAGTGTGAGAAATGATTGAGATGGATCGGCATGTTACATATCGGGAGCTAGAAGCATCCCTAGACATTAGTGGGATTAATATACATTTAATTTTATATATACATTTAGCTTTCAGAAAAATTTACTCCAGTTGAATTCTTTATAATCTGTCTATCGTTCAAAAGAAGACACGTGTTGATTGGCTCAAAGTAATGCTGAAAAATACGGTCGTCGTAGCTCAAAATACATCTACGACATCGTGATAAGTGAAGAGTCATGAATGTATGCCTATGAGCCCGAAACAAAATAGAAATCTAGAGTTTGGGTCTTCCAAAGTGAACAGACCTCAATAAAAGTTGTCCGCGGATGGTACAAATCCCAGTAAAGGGTCGTATGTTTTTATAAAAAAACCATATTACAACTATTCCACTTAAAAGTGAAATCTTCAGAGAATTAAGGAAAACCAACCGCCGAAAGGAGATCATCCTCCACTAGGACAATACGAGCTTCCACACATCAACTCAAACAAAAAAATATCTAAGCACTCGAGCCTTATAGTCCCGACTTGGCACCCAATGACTTTTTCTTTCCAAACATTTACAAAAATATGTGGTGTGAGCGTTTTTCTATGCCCGAACATACTGTTGAGACATTTGAAATCCTGGTTTTGGATATATCAACTTTAGAGTGGCAAAACTGCTTCTGAAAATGGTTCAATTGAATGCAAAAATGTATTAATGGAGAATGGAAATACTTTGAAAAAACAATAAAACCATTTTTACTGATTGATCACGGTGTTTTTATTGTTAGGCCCAAAAAGGCAGCCCTTGTATGATTACCAAGGATTTTACGGCTGCACTCTTCAGCCCATATGAAGCCATGTTGATCTAAAGATTGTTCTGATTGCATGAATATACATTTTTTAAGGTATTTAAATAATAGATAATACTAATAAGATAATAATAAGATAATAATAATAGATATATAAATAAGTTTCATAATAACTTGTATTTGAAGGAATTTGGCTGATAGATGTATATTGTCGATTTGTCAAGAACACATACACTTTTTAAGGCTTAACGATAATATACGTTAGTATATTATCAAAGGGCTTCGACAGTCTATAGTCGGAAGTTGTTTCTTAATTTCTTCTTCCAAGTTGTGTTTGCTGCTACAGTTGACCCAAGATGGTAGTACTACTACAATACACAGAATTCGCTATACATAACATGGCTCTAAACTGCAATCAATTTCAAACTTTAAAAACTGTCAAATTGGTGGCAACACTGCTTCTAGATTTTGCTTAATAACAGCTGATTTGTTTATTTTCAAGAATGCATAAGTATTTGCGCCTTCATATTTTAAATAATTTTATGTATAATAGTATTTAAATGTAAGAATCTTACAGTCCGTTTTCGTTAGAGTAAAGCCTCCATACTTAGAGCGTTTCAATATGTGTCAATTTGTTGAGTCAAGACTATAGCATATTACGTATACGACAAAATTAGCAGTGTTGCAAAACGTCATGTTGGAAAAAACTGTATTTGCAACAGTAGTGATCTAAAGAGTTTATACTTGGATTGAGGGGAATCCGAGCATTAGTGAAAGTATTGAGCTGAAAATATAAGATTATAGCTAATTATATAAAAATTAGCTCACGGTGAAGATTTACAAGTTCCAAAACGGGTAAAATTTTATTAATATTCGAATAAAAAATTTTCCCTGAATGTCTTCTATTTTCCAATTAAGTGGTTTGTTAAAAAGCAAAGTGATCGAGGTGTTATGAAAATTTAGATATACCACTGACCGCAAGAAATTATAGGACGAAGGCATTTATATTGTTTTGGACTTCTATCGGCTGAAATGAACGTGTTGAGGTATTCAAGAAGTGATTTTTCTTGAATAGATGAATACTTTACAAGGCCATATTTGGGAAGTGTTCGATAAACGCATCGATCATCTTTGAGCCATAGATTGAGTTAAAGGCTGTCATATCGAAGATATCGAAGATTCTTAATTCAAAATAAAAAATTGCATTTTAAAGAACTGCAGTTGAATTACATTGTCCTTTAAATAAAGAAGTATGTCACATTATTTTCTAATGGTACTAGAGTTTACTACTCCTATTTATATTTCATTTGGCATTAAACAGAAAATTGTCAAAATGTTTCTATCATTAATTATTCCATTCTCATCACTTCCAAAATTAGTCTTTTTAATATTCTAGCAGTATCATTAATTTACCCGTTCACTGGATACACAGTTGTTCTTTTATGGTTACTCTGTCAGTTTCTCTAGTTTTTAATATATCACTAATATTTAATATTTATATACAATATATTATTATGAAAACTTTGGTTGGCTAAGTAAAATAGATGATAATGACGGATAATAATAAGATTCTTAAGAAAGAAGATAAAACATAGTTGATTGTTGTCTGTCCGTCCCGACAGTAGGGAATTTTGTTCCGTATGAGTGTTAAATCTATTTATTTCGATTGATTGTTTAATTTAATTAATATAATTATATATGGTATTTATATTAATTATATAGTTAGTTATTATCATTAGTCAATTTGCAAATTCCAACTCCTTCATATACACGACTACCTATAATATTTTGAAAGAATGTTAGGTTAGGTTAGGTTATACCGGCGATCCCTGGTGGATTCACTTAGGCCTATTGGCCCATTGTATCACCGTATATATAGAAAAACTCAGGGCTTAAAGCTGGGCAAAAACATAGTAGATGAGAGTTACTCACTTCGTCTTCTTCACAGGTGCGTCAAATTTAATTGAAAGGGAGACATAATCTTATAGCAGGGTTTTCTAGTTTACAGTGACCTGTAAGTAAATCTACCAACGGGATATCTCAATGAGAATTTTTGAATTTCCTTTTATCGGAACTTGGCCAGATTGCATACAAATGCCTGCATATCGTTAAGTCTTTCCATCTTTTAAGACTAAAATAGTTAGCTATTTGCTATAGCAAATAATTATAATCCTCCAAAAATTACAGAGCTGTAATAGTTCTATCGTTGCTTTAAATCATGGCAATGGTGGTGATCAGGAAACTATACGCTTACTCTTGAGAATCGATATTCTTCCATTTCAAGGGGATACTTTCTGACTCTTTCCATTAAAATTGTACAGTTATTGTCAACTATATGTCGACATATGATCGAAAGTAATTTCCAAAAAATCAAGTATTCTAAGATTTTATGTAGAGGACATTTAAAAGAGAATGTGTGTTATGCCTAATGGCAAGGACCACGCAAATATTTTAAATTTACTTTCGGAATCACAAAATGTATAACTTTGTTCGACATAATAGTTTTATTTTTAGATAATCGGTTGTAAGCAGTGGACATTTATATTGAAATATAAAAGCAAACATTGTATATATCAGAACTGTATAGTTATAATTACGCGTAGGTTATATTTAAAAGGGAAGGATCTATTTCCTGAAATGTTTCCCCCGAGGCTTTTCTTCTAACTTATTCCAGAAGTGATTAGAAAACAATCAAACACTTATGAGAAAGAATATTCCAAGTATTGTTCATTCTAAATCCCTATGCAAAATCAATTAATCTCCTTTAAACTGCTTCTGCGATTCATGAATGATTATTTGGCGACACAATTTTGTTTATGGAATTGACTGACTTTAAATTTTTTCTACTTTGCGCTTCATGTAAAACATAAGCTTTTATAAAACGTAAAATAAAGTAATACGGCTGAGCTGATTATAAAACTTCAATTGAAATAATTTGATAATGTGGCATCATTATGTTAAGTCATTATATGCATGATATGTTACCATCAGCTTCAGTTTTGTAGATAATATCGAGTGGTGAAGAGCAACCTTGCTAGTAGACATTTACTTAGACTCAAAGGAGGGCAAATAAAATATAAGTCAACGGAAATTTAAACAGAGCACTGAATTCAAAATGCTGATGATCAAATTAATATCTGGTGATGGTTATATATTCGAAGTACATATTGACATTGCACAGCGTATGGGGCTGATAATGGATTTAGTTGAAACAGGTTCCATTGAAGAAGGCGTTGAAGTGACTATTCCATTTATTAAAAATCAAACCCTTGATAACGTTATCAAGTGGTTGACTCTCTATCATCACTATCCGTATCATGGACCGGTTTCACCATGGAATGATACATTTTTCAAAAACGACTACTATTTCATGGTAACAATGATGGCATGCGCAATAAATCTTAAAATA